GGGGGGGGGGGTGCTGTTTGCGGCCCCACCCAGTTTGTTTATCAGCTTGACATCACATTTCCTAAACGGGGCAAAGAATCCCTTTCCCAGAGAGGTGGAGCCGAGCTAATCCTCTTGGCTCCAGCCAGACGTGATGCAGGACCAGGGAGCATGCAGAGCCTCAAGTTCAACTGAATGAAAAGTCAATCACCCTGGTTTTCTTCTACAAAGCAGCTCAGCCAAATGCCCAGGGTGCTAGGTCAACTGGCATTTTCAAGGGGCTGCAGATCTTAGCTTTTCTGTGTCCCACAAACACCTGTGAATACCTGTGGATTAAATGTCCTTCAGAAGAACCAAATCCTGGTCTCAGAGTCGAGCTGAGGTGAATATATTCTTATTTTACTTCTCACAAGCAGCACTGTCTAAATTGGCAGTGGACAGGATTTGGAACGAGACAGCAGGGTTAGGGTCTTAGCGTCCTTGCTTGGTTTATGGAAACCCTTTTAAATTGCCTTTGGTTTCCTTCTTTGGAAGATGAGAATGCTTTTATTCACCATTTCTACCCAACAGGCTTGTAAGCAAATTGTACTAACTCAGCAACGGAAACTAGGAAGTTTATTCTCTCTCTGTAAAGCAAGAGTGATATGAAACATTTTTCTTTCCTTTTATTACGTAAATGGATGATAAACATTTCTGAAGGTTGAAAGCCAGTTTTAAAATTTCTGCCCCAGAAGTATTCTTTCTCTTTGGGCATCTCCATCCGTGCGGAGCCCCCTGTCCTTTGCTATCCTGTTTCACTCAGAGCTGAGGCGTTGGCTCAATCGATGGTATTTATTAAGTGTCTGCTGCGCTGGGTGCTGGGGTATTGTGGTGAATGGAACATACTGGTGAACACTGATGAAGTTCGCAGAGAATAAGTGAACCCGAGACGCTCCCCTGTCCCTAGTCTGTAATGCGTAAGAGGAGCAGGACACGGTGCTGAGGCTGGGCCGCAAGGCAGTGGCTGAGGCCTTGGCCAGAGCAGTTGAAGCGGAGCGGGGGCTGCGAGTCTCCTTTATTCACTTATTTAACACACACGGATTAAAAGCCCAGTATTTGTCAGGCACTGTGCCAATTGCTGGGTTCATCTATGAGTAGAACAGACACAAAGCTCCTGGACTCAGAGAGTATAGAGTCAGGTGGGGAAGATGGACATGTAAACAAGCACATACTTAGAAATGTGAAGCGTTATGAAGTAAACAAATAGGGGACTGAGAGAGAGAATGAGAGGGAAGACCTTGGTTAGGTCAAGGAAGGTATCCCTGAGGAGTAACGTACAAACAAAAAGGAGCCAGCCATGGTAAGAACAGGGGGAGCACCTTTTCTAGGCAAATAGATCAGCACATGCAAAGGCCCTGAGGCACAGCCTAGCGAGCGGCAGCAATCGGAAGGAAGCCACTGCGCAGGACTCTAGTAAGCAAGGAGGGCAGAGGTACAAGGTAAAGCTGGCGGGGGACAAACCGCGCTATTTGCATGTCATTCCAAGTTTAACGGGCAGTCACTAAGATGTTTTAGGTGAGGGAACAACAGGACGCGTTTATGTTTCTGAACACTCTCTGTGCATGGGGAACCACAGGGGGAGGACTGCAGGGAGCAGGAAGATCTCTCGAAAGGTATTGCAGTATTCCAGGCAGGAGATGAAGGCGGCTTGGAATAGGGTTGGTGGAGTAGAGACATGGATGGATTCAAACAGATTTCAAAGGCAGAATCCATAAGATTTGCAGATGAACCAAATAAGGCAAGTAAGGGAAAGGTAGGAATCAAGGCAATGTCCCAGATATCTGGCCACTTAGAGCGATGAAGGAGACTGAGGGAGGGACAAGTTTTGTGGGGGGAATCAAGGGTTCCTCTTTGGACATGAAAAAAAATAGAGATGCCTATAAGATACTAAAGGGGAGATGTCATATAAAGATAGTTGAATGAAAACACAGTAAGTAGCGTGGGCTGGAGGTGACATATTTATTAATTACCAGTCTATTAATTGTACTTAAATTCATGGAAGTGGGTGAGACTATGTAAGGAGAGTCTGCAGAGGGAAAAGAGATGAGGTTCTAAGAGCCAGCCCAGAGGCGGGAGAGAGGACACTGCGGGGTCAGGGTCATCAGCAACCAGAAGGGCAGGGAGGAAGCCGGAGGGGGAGCTGTTTCAGGATCAAGAGCAGGGAATGCTTCGAGAAGAAGCTGTGCCAACACACTGGAACACCGTGAACATGTAAGTCAGAAGGGCCCCACATAGTGTCCATTGGACTTGGCCACACGACAGGGAGGTCACTGAAGAGCATGAGAAGAGCAGTTTCAATGTCGGCGGTGTGAGAAGATCAAGGCCAGGCTGGCCCGATGGAAGAATGGGCGTGGGAAAGGGGCGGCTTTCGCGACAACCTGGGTAGGCTGAGTTTGGAAGTGAATGGAGCAGAGAAATAGGGTGGTAGCTGAAGGGGTCTTTAGGGTCAAAGGCGAGTTTTATTTTGTAGATGTAAGATGTAAGAGTAAGGTTGCATGTTGTTGGAAGTGATCTAAAAAGAGGAGTTATTGCCTGGCCGGGCGTGGCTCAGTGGTTAGCATCGACCTAGGATCCAGGAGATCGCGGTTCGATTCCCAGTCGGGGCACAGGCCCGGGCTGCGGGCTCGATCCCCAGTCGGGGGCGTGCAGGAGGCAGCCGGTCAGTGACTCTCATCATTGATGTTTCCATCTCTCTCTCCCTCTCCCTTCCTCTCTCTGAAGTCAATAAAGAAATATTTAAAAAGAAAAAAAAAAAGAGTTATTGATGATACGGGATGAGGGTTGGGGTGAAAGGAGGGAGGGGAGACTTGTAAAATCGAGATGGGGAGGGCCAAGTCGGGTGGGAAGGACACTTCTGTCAAGATGGTGGGACCCGGGAGTTTTGTGGAACTCGTCGCGGGAAGACATGGGAGCTCCTGCTCAATGAATTCTATTCTCAGTGAACTGTCAGTCAGGTGAAAAGAGGTGGGCGTGAGAAGTGAGGAAAAGGGGAGAACAAATAGCTCTGACGAGGCAGAGCCCATACAAGACGCCCGGAGCCCGGTACTTCGCCCGGTCATGCCCGTCTCCCTGACCATCTGGCCTCTGACCCTGCAGGGATGAGCTGGAGGACTGTTGAGAGGAGATCTCCAGGAGTCCTTTTTTCTTTGTCAGAAGCAAAATAGTTATCCCTGAGAACAACCTATAATGAAAATAGTACTGCAAGATTTGCAGTTGGGTTTGATTGATCGCAGAATCACGATGTGCAAAAGAACCAAAGGAAAACACAAACTGTAAAATGAACCATGTGAACAAAGCCAGCTTTCTCTCTTCTTCTCGCGCTGCTGATACTGGAGGAGGGCACCTCTCACCAAGTTCCGAGAAAAAGGGTGTCTTTAGAACCACACCAACTGACAACATCACAAGCTACCCCTAAAATTATTTAAAAATTGAATGTATAGAAAGAAAAGGCCCAGGGCCCTAATTTTCAGTTCAATACTATTTGTGGTAAAGTCTTTTATCCAGGAGTTCTAATCCTGGAGGAGGCTGCAGGGAGAAATTATGGGAGAACTGAAAGGTCGCAGTTGGAGATTCATGCTGCCAGAAAATAAAATTTAATTTAATACTCATTAATTTTTTTTTTTTTTAATGCCAGAGAAAAATCTCCAAGTGTTTGGCTTACAGGAAATCGCCATACTGACGGCTGGGGTGGGTTTTTACTGATTCTACTACTTAAGGACACTAGAGGGCAGCATTGTTAAGAAAAACAATTAACTCAGTCTATAAATGCTGTTGTTTTTCTGGTGTATCATGGAAAAAATGCATTTTAAAAGCACCTAGTCAGAGCATCGATTCTGAGTGGGGAGGACATTAGGAAGATCATTTAGTGCTTTGCATCCACCTGCCTCCTGGAAGGAACACACCCGCAAACTGATGAAATGCGGCGCCCCGGGGCTGAATGTGACTACCTCGCTCTTCCGGGAAGCTCTAAACTTCCTCCCACATTTCCTTCCTTCAGGCTATAATTTAGCCTTTAATTTAGTTATTTGCTTTAGTAGATATGTAAACAGATAGTCACTATGACATGCACTCACACACACACTGGTATGAATCAGGATCACCTGAGGAATCTGATGAAAATGCAGAGGTCCAGGTCCTAGCCAACTTCAATGAGCCTGGCCTTTGTATTACTTTCATTAGCTCTCAGGTCTCCAGGTTTGAGAAACACCGTCTAAACTACTGAAAAACTTTGTGAACTCTTCCCTGTGCACTCCTTTCCGAGTTGAAACAATCCTGCGGATT